TTTTTTTCCGTTTTAATTTTTGTGGATTCAGCTTTTTTTTTTTTTTTCGTTTGAATTTTTTTTTTTTGATTATGTTTTGATGGTTAAATTAACTTTTCAATAATCGATTGAAAAAAAAATCGAATGAATTGAAACTTACACAATTTAACAACTATTTATTAAAAGTTGAACAAAAATGTAATTTTTTGGGCCTTATAAAATCATTTTATTTTTTTCCCAAATTCTCTGTTTTCCGTTTTAATTTTTGTAGTCTTCATTTTAATGTTTTTTTTATTTTTAATCATCAAAAAACTGAAAAAAGCCTAACCAATTAAATTAATAAAACGTAATGTAATAATTTATTTAAATATTTACAATAATAGTAAACAAGAATATTAATACAAAAATTGTCTTTTTTTTTATTTATTTTTTTTATGTTTTGGTGTTGTCTGTTTTTCTGGATTCATGAATTAATAAATATTTATAAAAAATGGTAGTATGAAATAATAGTAATAGTAATGGCATAAAACATAATCTTTTAAAATGTAATCAAATGAAAAAATTAACTTACGATAGAGGTTTACTGTTGAAATGGAAACATGGAAGAAAAATTATGTGATAATTAAAAAATAATTTATTATTATTATTATTATTACATTGAGAAGTAATATTAATAATAGTTAAACTGAGCTTTTATTTTTGACACATTGTATTGTAAACTTTTACATTTTCCTGACTGGATTCTGCAATTTTGTCCAGGTTTTTTTTTTAATCGCAGATCCTGCTGTCAGCCTCAGACTAAACATGAACCGTGTTCCAGCGGTCTAGAGCGGTTTTTGGTGGTTTCTGACCTGATCCACAGCTCTCTTGTGTTTGGATGCCCATCGCTGCTCGTTCTCCTGCAGCTCCTCCAGATCTCCCTCCAGATCGATGATCTTCTCCTGAAACACACACAGATGCGTGCGCTTCTGTCAGCGGTGCTCGTGTGTGTCTGCGGAGGTGTGTGTGACGTCAGCGCCGTACCTGAGCCAGCTTGAGCTGTTTGAAGAAACACATTCCACATTGTGAAGATTACAGTTTTTCTTTTGTACATTTGAAACTTTTTTAGTAATTTTATTTTTTGGGGGTTTTGTCATTTTTTATTCATTTTTCTATTACATTATTTTATGTTTATTATTATTTTATTATTTATGTATTATTTTCATTCGTTGTTCTTGTGCTTCAGGAATGCACTGCACCTTCTGTCATGCCAATAAACCTCATAAAATGGTAAATGCTGTTCAAAAATGTACTAGTAATGTCATTAAAGTTTGTAATTCTTGTAATTTTGGTCATTTAAAATATTTAAAAATGTATTTTATAATTATAAAAAATATAATTATAAAATACATGACGTTATAATTATAATTAGTTTAGTTTGGTTTTGTAATTTTTATTAGTTTTTTATATGTCTATATAGTTTTTATTTTAGATTATTATTTTATTATATTTTTATTAAGTTTTAGTTTACTTAGTTTTAGCTATTTTAGTAAATTTTAACTAAATGTGAAATATTTTTACTATTAAAACAGCTGTTTTCTATGTGAATCTCTGTTAAACTGTAATTTATTTCTATGATGCGCAGCTGTATTTTCAGCATCATTACTCCAGTCTTCAGTGTCACATGATCTTCAGAAATCATTCTAATATGCTGATTTGCTGCTCGAGAAACATTTCTGATTATTATCAATGTTGAAAACAGTTGAGCTGCACAATATTTTTGTGGAGACGGTGATGCATTTTATTTTTCAGGATTCAGATGAATAGAAAGTTCAAAAGAACTGCATTTATTTGAAAGAAATCTTTTGTAACATTATAAATGTCTCTACTGTCACTTTTGATCAATTTAATGTGTCTTTGATGATGAATTAATTTCCTGCATATATGAATGTGTATTAATCGGACCTCTCCCTGCAGTCTGCTGACGATCTGTGTGAGGCGCAGCAGCTCCTGGTCTTTCTCCAGCACGCTCTCCTCCAGCTCCTCCACTGTGTGTGTGTGTGTGTGTTGTGTGTGTGTTGTATGAGTGTGTGGTGTGTTGTGTGTGTGTGTGTTGTGTGTTGTATGAGTGTGTGTCTGAGTGTGTGTGTGTTTGTACCTCTGTCTCCAGTCTGAAAACAGTGTTACTGAGTTCTAGAGTTTTCTTTGCTTTAGTTTCTTTCTCCAGCTCCAGCTCCTCCAGGTTTCTCTCGGTGAGCCACAGTTTTTCTGACACAGTCTGAGCGTGTTGAGCTTGTTTCTCCAGAGCTTCCTGAAGAAAGCACACAGAAGATCAGACCGACTGCAGTTTGAGAAAACCAACAACAGTCATGTACATTTACTTTCACAAAGTGAATAAAGCCCAGATGAGCAGCTGTCAATAACCAGTTTCCTGATGTAAAATGTTGCTTGTTTAAATGATATTATTATTAGCCCTAATTTTACATTTTTGCTTATTAAATGCTGAGTTTCTGAAAAGCATGTAGCGTTTTATGGGGTTATTTGCATGACAAAATGTGCTGTGAATTACTGAAGTGCAAGAAAAAAGAATAAAAATAATACATCAATAATAATAATATAAAATAAATAATAAATCAAATTCTCATTTGTTTTCATGATATTATTGGCCCTAATTTAGCATTTTGCATAAAATAATAATAATAATAATCATAAATCTAAAAAACAAATGGCCATTTGTTTCATAATTTTACATTTTATTAAATGACTGAATGATTGATTACTGATATATTTTTCAAATTTTACATTTTGCTTATTAAAGGACATTAAAAATGTAAATGTAGAAAATAAAATAATAAATATAAAATATTCTAATTATAAAATAAATAAGTAATAATAAAAATAATAATATAATATAATAATAAAATAATAAACAAAATAAATAAAATAAAATGAACAAAATAATACAAAATAATAAAAGAAATGGCAATTTTGGTCTTTGGAAGTGTCAAGCAGCCTGTTTATTTGTGATGCTGCACCTCAGTGTCCTGTATTTTGTTCTTGAGCGTCTGCTGCAGGAAGTTGAAGGCGTGTTCCTGAGTGTTTGCCTCGACCATCACCTCCCGCGCCTCCTTCAGCTCTTTCTGCAGACACACACACACACACACACACACACAGACACAGACACACACACAGACACACACACAGACACAGAGACACACACACAGACACACACAGGCGTGTTGATGATGAGGATCACGGCTCTGCTGACGGCGTGTGTTTAGGGCAGTGGTTCTCAACCAAACATTGTTATATGCTTGAACTGTTTTATATCTATAGATTTTATTTTAGGCAAGTCGTGATGATTTGAGAAGGCTAAATTGATCAAACATAGGCTATGATCAGCTCACTGTCTGCCGCTGGCCGCTTGGTCTTTACTTTAAAAAACAAAAACTTATATTTAACGACCAAAAAATGCTCCAAACGTTTTTCTAAATTAACTTAATAAAAAAACGAAACGAAATATAATCACTTTGCCATTACATACAAAACTGAACTATTTCAATGTAGCTGAAACAGTAGTATTAGCTGTTTTGTGAGAAGGGGGGAAAAAAAAGACGGGCTCAGGTCTGTAATTCTGATAAGCTGACGGACAAGGGCCGGGCAAGGGCCTGAACGTTATATATTTGAGGCCCGTGCAGGGCTCTAGCCTGAACATCTTCAAGTGGTTCCTTCGCTGGCATTTTCCACATTTCGTTTTTCTCCCTTAATAACAAATGTGTCCATTCTGATGCTGCTGCTAACTATTTGAATTGAATTCTGCCAAAGTGCGCGCTTGTAAGTGTTCGCTAAATGCGTAACGTTAATTACGTGAATACAGGTCTGCTCATGTCTGAAAATAATATATGAAAAACAAAATTATTTTACATAACAAAAACATTATAGCTTATATTTGTTTAGTACATTTTAAAATTAATGTAAACACTAAAATGAATTGTAAAACTGAAAGTAATTTTTTAAATTGTGTTCAGCATGGTGGGCCGCATTTGAATTCGTGACGGGCCGCGGGTTGAGAACCACTGGTTTAGGGTGTTGTATGAGGTGTTTGTACCTCCATCTGTCTGAAGCGCTCCTGCATGACGTTGTTGTTGCTCTCTAACTCCACGATCTTCTCCCGCAGCCGGTTCGTCTCGCCCTGCATCTGCGTGTTCGTCCGCAGCAGATCTTCATTGTTCACCAGCAGACCTCGCATCTCGAAGCGGATCTGGTTCCTCTCCTTCTCCATCTCGATGCTCTCCGCTTCCAGAAACTGGTTCCTCTGCAGCACATAAATAGACATATTAAAGCTAACCTGCATTTCTACTCATTACTTGATTTGATAAACGCTCATGCGTCTTTACACAAAAACTGGACTGAGGTCAGCAAAACATCTTTCCCAACAATTTCTAGTCGAGAAGTTAATTGACGCACAGCTCGTGTGTGTTCATACTGACCCTGCGACAGTCCTCCAGCTGTTTGGTCAGTTCCTGGATGAAATCCAGTTTGTTCGGCTGGTTGTTTCGCTGCATGAGTTGACTTGGAGTCGCCTTCAGGAGAGAAAACATGAGTTCACATAAGATAGTTTTAATATAAATTCTCCTCTGGGACATTAAAGTGCCTGTTGAATAAACATCTATTTACTGTTTAATAAATAAATACATTTTATTTTATAATTTATTTATTGTATTATTATTAGAAATTCTATATATATATATAATATTTATAATTTATATATATATAAAATTAATTAATTTT